AACGCACCATGCCATATATGGTTAAATTCAACTCAATACCTGGCTGCTCAATCTTATAGATTGCATTTGCGAATTGCGCGATAATAACCCCAGGATCTTGAGTCACATTCATTGTGAAAGTTGTGAGATAAGGCGGGTTAGCTCCTAAAGTAAAGCCAATGTTGGGAATTATGAGAACATGTGGATCATGTTTGCCTCAACCTCATTCCATGCAACATTCTTTTGGCCTTTATGTCACTCCGCTCGCCGCGGTGAAATATATTTCTTTACACTTGTGCAGAAGTTTATCGCAAATATTTATAATTGGATTACAAGTAAATTGTGTACCCTTGTAATTTGTTTGGCAATTACAATAGCTTTGAAATTTTAACGAATTTACAAATACATATTTATTTACATAATATCTTAAATATGTAAACCCCTTACATCATTTCTCCGCCTGTACTTAGTTTTGCCAAAAGAGCAACATTTGATTAGAATCGCTTTTTATGGTTATTATTTTTTCCACATATTTGCACGTTCGCTGGCTTCAATCTGAGAGCAGAGATATAACCAAATTATTTGTTTATTAATTTCATTTATTGCCGCAAGTGGTGGGGAATGAAGAGACAGCGATCGAGGCCACCAACTGCGTTCGTTTCGCTTTTTACTCGCATATTTCTTCTTTTTTTTTTCATTTTTTGTGTACTTGTTTTTTGCCGGCAAGAATCTGGGCGATTCGCAACCTAATGCTGCAAGAGAACTCTTTGAGTGCGGATGACTCATTCTCCAGCAATGTGGAGTGCTCTAAGTGAAGGGGGCGGAGAAGAGGGTTCCGCCGAGCTCAGATATGGCGTTGTCTTCTGGCGGGGACAACTCCATTCCACTTCATTCCACTTCGGCAACAGTGGTCCATGCTGGTCTAAAAGTACTTTTGAGTGTTCGGAAATAGTCGCTGGAATATATCCACTTAAATTTAGAATATTTGAAATTCTTAAATGTAAACAAAGTTGAGGAGATCGTTCAGCTAAGGTGGTGTGTATTTACATATTGCCATTGTTTGTTTTTTATAAATGTATTTAGCTTGAACCTAGTGTCGTCATCACATCTTATATTTTCTATATTTTATTGTGCATACCGACAACTGTGATGTCTGTTATTCCCGACTTCGCTGCGACTCTTGCCCGTTCATTCCTCCACTTTGATGGTTTCTCTAGTTGTTGTTTTGATTAAACTGCTGGTGGAGCGGGGGATATGGATATGGATGTTATGGCTACGCAGAGTTGGCCAAGAGGCGGCAGACTTGGCCTTAAATCATGATTAATATCTTGTGTAGTTCTGCAGCTTCGACTTCATTCCGTTGATAGCGCTCATAACGGTACCGGCCGGCTATACGAGCATAAATAACAGTTTTTTAAGTGCTGCATCTAGTCGAACTTTAATTTGTGCTCAAAGAAAGCTGAGAAGCATATGGGCCGGACAATAGAGAGAAAGCATATCTCCCTCTGAATGGCCATAGAATTTCTTTCCTCACTGCCTGTGCTGCTGACCTGACCGGCAAACAAAAACCGAAATCCAGAAAAAAGGAAATAAAAACCTTATAATCTGGCAGTGGACAACAATGCGAATCTGGATTTCAGTTTGCTCTCATGTCTAAAAAGTGTTTGCCTTTTGCCGTTTGGCATTTGAAGTGTTTATTGTCCCAAAACTTTTAAGAACTCGCCTTGGCAAAAATACTCTCCCAATTGCGGAGCTCGTCACTTTGGTGCAAAGACTGTTTAACACAACGTTACTTAAGATACATAGACTTCGAAAGCAATTAAATAGCACATACTATCAGTTTCTTAATAAGGAATATGTAGATTTCAGCTCATCACAAATCATTTTATATATACTTTGCAATAATCTCTAATAGATTAAGTATGCATTATATAAGTAAGAGTAAGTTTTATTTCGGTTAGAGTGATAGGATTTTGTTGTAAGTGAAAGAACAATTCAAGAATGTGAATTTTAGCACCTTTACATAAAAATGACACTCGCAATTGGTTCAAAGACGTTTAAATTTGTGTAAAAGCTAAAGGTGGTTACTTGCAAATCAAGCTAGCTTTGTAATAAAAGGAGAACTGCTTTTGTTTGAAATCTTTTTTTAACCAAATTCGAAATTGGTGAAATCAGTTGCTTTTTTACATATCTGTTCCCATTTCGAAGTGCTCCAGTTTCAGTTCCTTATGCAAATTTAAAGAAATCACTTTGACACTTCAAGTCTGTTTTTTTCTTTTCCTATATTACATTTATAGATAGATTTGGTGAACCAATTTTGTTTGTTTTGTGGTTTCTGGTGTTGTTGCTGGTGCTGGTGCTCATTGCCTGCCCCCATTTGTCATTCGCTGGCTTTGGCTTGCCGTGGTAATTCGAGATTTTCCTACCATTTCGTGGCTCATGCCAATTGTTTTTATCGCCACTTGGGTCGAGAAACGTTGAAAGCGTGCAAATTCGAATGCAAATTTAACACCTCGTCGTGGTTGACAGAAAACAACCCGACAATAAAACCAAAACACCAAATACAAAGCGAAGCCAAGAGGAAACGTTTAACTTTTGAAAATTGAGCCACAAATTGAAAATCAAGACGAGAAGCGAGCAAAAGTGAAAAAGTGGGTTAAAGCGTCCGAAGAAAATGGAAATTGAATGCAGTTGACGAGGGAGACGTACTCCGTTGTTGACCACCGACCACCGAACTATTACCTCACCACATTTAAATACACATGTCTACATTTCCATATGTACATTGCCTATTCAGATTCACTTGGCCCCTCCTACAACATAAAAAATATGTAAGAAACTCGACAGCATTTCATTGCGAAACTGAAGCTGAAAATGCAATTTACATGACACTAAACAGCATCAAGTCTATGGACTTCGACTGAAGTTATGTGAAATACGGAAAGTGAATTAATCTTATTTTAATACATTTCTTGAATAATTACTAAACCATACAGAAAAGTTAGGCTGTTTATATAGTAATGGTTTTATAGCTATAAATATGGTTTTTATTTATGCTATGCACAAACAACCAAATAGAAAGTCCATTCATCAGAGTTAAGTTTAAAGACCCTAATGTCTTCGACACACATCTCACAAACCAAATCCTATGCCCACTAGTAGTAACGAAAGTCTGAACCTGAGGCATTCTTGCCGAACTTCATCCGTAGTCCAATTGGCCATATACTCAAAACCATTGCCCCTGTTACGCATGCGCCCTGAGCTGGAAAGTCATTTGCTTAAGCCCAGATTCAAAGTGAGGTCAAGAGAAAAATGCGTTGATTTATTCGGGTTTCGGTTCAGTGGGGTCAAAGATTGTTTCGCTTTCAGCTTTTCTCTCCGGGCCATGGAATGCGGTAAACTGACTTCTTTCGTTTTTATTTCACTTATTTTTTATCTCTACGTCCATCAAACAATTAACTATCGTATTTTTTTGTTTCTACACTTTTAATTGTTGTTTAAACTGGTTTTGCGATGTTTTTGCGCCAGCTTCCAGTGGCAGACAGCGTTGAAAACCAATTAGGAGATATTTTGTACTCCCATCTGGCATCTCTTTCGGCGAATGTATGGCTCTCTCTTTCGACTGCTAATCCGCAGACAAGTTAATCGTTTGTTGACCTCCACGTCAAGGATGGTGGGGTGAATGGGAATGGGGATGTGAATGTGGATGTGGATGTGGATGTGTTGGGGCTCCATTGCGGTTTTAAGACTTTTTCCTCTTTCGGAAAATTTGCATAACGCGTTGCAGGCAAACAGAAACAGAAAAGATGGAAAACCAAACATCCAGGCACCAGATACGAAGTCGAGCTATCAAGCCAAGTTCCATCACAAGTTCTTTCTCTGGTCGTTGCGAAGTTTTGTAATATCGGTATCTGTGAGATGCGAGTTCTTCCCCACTTCATATGCCAAGTCACTTAAAATCACGCAACATTTTCAATGTCTGTTTGTCTGGTTCTCATCTGTGTGACTTGGCCGCGGTTATCTAACCAGTTATCTTAACTGAGCGGTACTAACAACGATATCTTCTTATTCTTTGCAGAATGAGAAACCTTGAGATAAACAGAAAATTGGAAGCTAGTGATACTTCTTGTGCTTTTACCAAATAAGTTTTTTTAACTTATGTAACATGCAGAAGTAAGCGTTTCCTAGCATTAAAGTATATATATTCTTGATCAGGATCAATAGCCGATGCGAACTGGCCATGTCCGTATGAACGCCTCGATCTCAGGAACTATAAAAGCAATAATGTTGAGATTAGGCATGCAGATTCTGGAGACGTTGACGCAGCGCAAGTTTTTTCCAATGTTGCCGCACAAAACTGCCAAGGCCACTCTTGAAAAATGTTTTGATATTTTTCACTTTTATATTAGTCTTGTAAATTTCTATCGATTTGCCGAAAAACTTTATTACGTCCACTCTACCGCCCACAATCCGACCAGAACTGTCACGACCACAAGTTCAAAAAATTTTATTCCAGATATTCCAGAAAGTTTTGAAATTTCTCGTTTGCACTTTCTCTAGCTGAGTAACGAGTATCTGATAGTCGGGGAACTCGAGTACAGCATTCTTTCTTGTTCTTATTCTTTCTTTCTATTTATGCACATAAAATCATAATAATTAATTTATAGATAAAAACAATTGAAATTAATACGATTTTCCCGGATCTCTTTAACTCCGTTCTTCCAATTCCAATTAATTTTGGAGAAAATATATATTTACGCATAAATTTCTAGTTAACGGAAGAGTATAAAAACCTTTGAGAGCGCTTCTTATGCTTGGCTTGGCCCAGAGTTTTCAGTTGCACTGCGCCAATTTGGCTAACAAGCAACAAAGAGCAAAAGGCAGCTAGCAGCAGCACCACCACCACCGCCACAGCAACAAACAAAAAACAACAAATAGCAATAATAATATTGCATTCTCGACAATTTCCCTGATTCTCCGTTTGTAATTCAACGTTTTACCCCTCTTTTCTTTCGTTTCAGACATGGCACAAAACGTGTTTCAAATGCACAGAATGCGGCATGACGCTCAATATGAAAACCTACAAGGGCTACAACAAAATGCCCTACTGCGAGGCGTAAGTTTAACCAAGTTTTTACCACCCCCTAGCCCCCAGAATTCCATCCCCCACCCCTCTCCACCCATCGCCACCGGGATCCATGAACAATTGTGGAGCACAGTGGGGGCAATCACGTTGAGCCTTATCGCATCGCACCCACTTGAAATCGGAATGCGATGGAGGATGGTCAACCTTGATTTGCCTCCCTCACCTGGCAATCTTCATTAGCGTCGTTTATCTAATCGCTCCTCGGAGATAGTAGATGTGTGGGTGGGGCAGAGTGCCTCTGGCAGCGAAGATAACGCTTAAATTCACTGGAAAATTGCAAAAAACTCTCCGCATGTGGGTGTGCAATAGGTGCAGCAGCTGGTTAGGGAAAAGTCCGGGCTGGATAAGGAATGCAGGTAGAATGAATGCAGAATGGGTTCAGATTGCGGAAATGCAGTTGTGGGCCAGGCAGAGCCACGCTGAAACCCACTCCAGTTCAACCTGTGAACTAGTTAATTGTTCGCTTGATAACAGCAGCTTCTAATTTGGTTTAGATTTAATGGCTGCAGTTGAATTTTTTAAATGTACAGCACTTGTTTGTCCAGCTTTGATTGCATTCTTGGTTCATTTGATTTAATTTTATTACGTTCTTTTTATTAGAAATGATAACCGGTAATTGTTTTTATATCGCACAACAATATTAGTTTCTGATCGAGTTTTTTTTTTTTTGCCAGTGACGGTATTGTTTTGTTAAATAATTATATTTTCTGAATAGTTCAAAAGCTTGCGATGATATAGCTGAAAATATTTCATTTTAAATTGGATTTTTTGTAACTGGTTGGTTAATTTCATTTAACAACTTGCATTTCAATTTCTGTTTACATTACATAAAAGCAACATATTTAAACGTAAATTATAAGCCCCTTTACAATACCCCATAAATGTAGTTTAAAGTTGGTTTTTTGTTCTTAACTCCGAGAACTAGTTTTCCTGTTGAAGAGCAGGTGATCAACTCTGCCATCTAGACTCCTCGCACACACAAAGTTTTTCCCGCTTCCTGCTGAGCTGTTCAAATCGCGAATCGCATGGGGAATCTGTGTCACTTGGGGGGCGTTCCCAGTTTGCAGTTCCCAGAAGCCAACGAGCCCCCTTCTTCGAACAGAACTCCACCTCTGACTCTGCTTTCTGCTGTCATGTTCATTGTTGTAGACAATGTCACACACATCGGACTGGGTAAGTGGACAAGAGAGCAAGTGTTTTGCTTTGCATTGTGGCCAACACCAGCCAGCTCCTCAGCTCCTTTTGCCCAATATTTTCCTTTTACTGCAGTGCGTGGCTGCATTTGCTGGCCTTGAGCCAAAAGCCAGGGGCGCAGTGAAACGGGGATCGGATCGCATTCTGTCCTGCGACTAGTGCGACTACGGCTGTTGCTGCTCTAATGCAGATTTATTGTGGATGCCACCGCTGCGGGAATAAAAATTCCATGCGGATTGAGTTATGCGTCCGTTAGCTCCATTGCGCAGTGGCCCCCTTCTCAGCCCCTCACGATTTTCCAGGCGAAAACTGTGCTGTCTGCTTGGTATCACATGTCCCGTTCGCTTTGTGCGAATTTCCACTGATGTCATCGCCTGCATAAATTGCAACATGGATTCAGCTTGGGCAATGTGGTTTAGCGGCAAAGTGGCAGCGGTTACGCCCCGTTTTCCGCTGCCAGCACTTTCACTGCATTTCCTCAAACAGTTTGCACCTATCCGGCAAATGCTGCTCCCCGATTACGTGACGCCACGTGCGGGAATCCGGAGCTCTTCCATTTTTTGTCCGTGTCTTCGATCTAGATTTTTATGCGGGGTACTTGCGGCTCTAAAGGGGCATATTCAATTCCATTCCCAACTCCCTGAATTCATTTCAGATCGAGATTAATGAAAACTATGGAGCTGAATCGTTCTCTCATTTTGGATTTGCATTTGCCGGCCGGCAAATCGGTTGAAATACTTATGAAAACCTAAAAATAGGGTATTTTTACGTGCCAAATAATTCCCAACTCCGGGCTCCTTGCATTTTACAACTGCGGCTACTTCAACTTCCACTTTTTGCTTTGCATTTTGTAATTGCTCGTGAAGTTTCGCCTGCCTGGTTGTTCTTCGGAGCCTTCTGTTAAGTTCCGTCTGCAGACAAAAGATAGTTTCCCATCCAGTTACGGGTCAAAACAAAGTTTTCATAGTGCCGCTTTCTTGGGCCGAGAGGTCAGCCACCCAGTGGGGATAACACGATTGCAATAAATTATGAAGTTCATTCACAGGATAAATGAGGGAAACGTGCAATTAAAGTTGGGCCACATATGAAGCTGAAGTGCCCGACAACTGATTGTTAATTGGATTTGAGGGCCATGGATATGGTATCAGGGCAGGAAGAGTGGAAAATGGGAAAAGTACTCTAAGATTGATGGGGAACTTTCTTGATTTTGGATATTAAACTAGATGATATTAAAAGAGATTTGCAACTTCAAATTTATAGTTTATTATTAGGCTTCATTTCATTAGTACCTACATCAATCTGGAACAAATTAAAAATGTATTTACCCTTAGTTTCACTAAAGCATACTGCAAGATTCATTTCCCTCGCTATTGATTTCAAAGGAGAGCTCAATTGCAGTCCAACAAGTAGGAAAAGTAAATAAATAGGAACTCCTAGATCAAACTAGTTTCAGTAAATATTCCAAGCTTCCTTTGTCGTCCAGTCTATTCAAAACAGGAAATGTGGGACTTTGTTCAACTTGGAGCTTATGGATATATGTCCATCCCCAATAAACGAAACTTTCTCCCCGCCCTAATTGCATCTTGAAGTACAGCTTTCCTGGCCGTTGTCCTACCGAAGGCCGAAAGCCAAAGGACAGGACAGGAAAAGAAGCCGGCTTTGGGCCAGAACCAAAAGTGCACTTACATACTCGCATATGCACATGAACATGTGTACAAATGTGGGATGGAACTTCTATTCATACAATTTTGTATACATTACATTACCAGGCCCCATTTAGTTGGAATTGAACTAGAAAACGAGATGTTTACAATGTCTTGCTCGTTTTTTCGCATTTATTTTGTATTCCATTTCGTTTTCCCTTGGTTGTGTAAAGTAAAATAAAAAATAAAAAAGCCGGGGTTTGCGAAACATCTGTCGAACAGAAGGCTGATACTTTTCTATATATCATTGGCATTTATTTATTAACATAAAAACCCAGTGAACCATGGTCATGCAACCCAACATCCAAAAACCCCGCCCATTGTGCCACATTTTCTTCTTGTCTTCTCTCATTTCATTTTACATCACATTTCCCCCATTTTTTACTTTCGTTTTAAAACGCGGCTTAAATATCCGAACAATACAGATGGTTATATGGGATATCTGGGTAGCTGTGCATATATCTTCGTCTGATTACTTAAGCCGCCCACAAAATAGAAAACAAAAGTGACAACGGACACAAAAAACTTTTCAATTACCAAAAAATAGTTGGGTCAGCAGAGTGGCAGCCAGGAGAAGTTGGGGGCATTGTCTCATTTTTCCACTGTTTTATGCTAAATACCAACATTTGTGGGTCGCCTATTTATTTGGCTTCCGAAATGAGCTGGGAGTGGTGTCAACGATTACCCCGGGAACACCTTTCCTATCCAGCTATTGGATATGAATTTTTTAAAAGCTTTAAACACGCGATGGAAACTTGGGAATTTACACACAGTCACTGTCGTTCACTCCCTTTCGCTGTCTGTGCGATGGATTTTCGAACTTTTATGCTCACTTTGATTGACTGCAACGGACTATGAATACCGATGATGACGTTGATGGCCAATGCCAAAAAGTTTTGGCTGTAATGCGTAGGGGAGAGGGTTGAGATGGGGTGGAGATAATCACATTGGTCGAGCATGCATTTAATTTCAATTTTAACGCTGTTGCAAATTATGTGTGAAATGATTTCTCTTTTTGTTGTTATGCAACCTCAGTCATTTGTGCGAAATTATATTCCAAGTATTACTCTTCAGACAATTGAGACACTTTTCTATAGACTGAAACAAATGTTTAATAAATGGCAGGAAGTTGCCAATCGGGTTTTAATTAATTATAGGTATTAAACACCCCCACGTTCATATTTTACTTTATTAATTAAATTGGTCGGAATCAATTATTTATTTATATATGTAAATATTTTTTGGGGATCCATCTCAGTGTGGGGATGCCTTATGAAACGTACTTAAGAAGTAACAGCCATCATTAAAAAAACATTCATGTTCCTTGCTTAAACGACCATATAAAGTAGGTAGTGTTACTTTATATGCAGTCTTTTGTCAATCCCATCTCATCAGCTATAGCCAAGTATTAAGTCGTAACTGCCCCTCCCTGGCTTACTTTACATTGATCCATTGCACAACAACACCATAAAGTCGTCGAACAACAAAAGACTGTCATGGTAACTCAACACCAATCACCGTCACCGGTTGTTCCACATGGGAAAAATTAAAAAACAAAGAAATAGGAGTAAGTAAAAAACAAGAGTGAAAAAAGCTGAAAAATATGTTGACATCCAATGAATGTCCGAACCGTTTTTCTCGTTTATATGCTGGCCAGGTTTTGGGTGGTTTGCGCCTGGTTTGGATGGTCTTTCGATGCTTGATGAATACAACGCGTTGTGGTCCAGTTTGCTGGCCGGGAATCCAGATATCCTCGTTTCCATCAAAAGCAATTTGTGTGGGAAATCATGAACCATCATGCCATCAATTGACTAACAGATACCCTGTGTAATGTCCATAAAGAGCAGTTGGTTTTATAAAACAACAAATGCTCAAGAGCTACCAGTTTAGAAATATATTTATAATTTGCAGGATATTTGTGCATATTACATATGTGGAGAAATTATGGCCAAAAAATGGTCATTGGCTCTTCTTGGTCACCATTTATGCTACCGCTAATGTGGTTGTGTGTTGTTTACAAATAAATTAAAATTCTTTGATAATAATAAAATGTGAGGCACAAAAAAGGAGCAACAACTGCATCATAGACATGCATTGTTGTTGCAAGTGCGGCTGCTGCTGACGTGCATGTTGTTGTTGTAGCTGCGACTGATCTATTGGGAACGTGCTGAGGCATCCGCTGGTGGTAGACGCTCGCCAATGTCGCCTCCGGGCGCTCAAGCATTGTTATGTCATCATTACCAGCTACCAGCAACAGAAGCAACACAACTAGCAGCAGCAGCAGCAGTAGCAGCAGCAACAGCAGCAGCAGCAGCAATGTGTGCCAGCTACAACAGCAATTTGACCGACCGAACGCAACGGCAATGCGGACGATGCTTTCTGCGGTTCGGGCTTTGTACTTATTTCTGCCCCTTGGCCACCACCTCATCCTCCTGCCCTCCTCCTTCCCCATTTTCTATCTGTGGCACACACATGTAACGCATATTGAACGATAAAGCAAAGTAAAGCAAAGCTTGCAGCGGCAACAACAATGCATTATTGTTGCACTCTTGGCATACTCTTTTCGCGGGTTATACTATTAACATGAGGTATCTGCTTGTGATAATTAGTTAATAAGTTAATTAACCCCTTTGGCGATAATTGTAGGAATATAATTAATAAAATATAACAAAATGGTTTACGATCAGACATAAGGCTTACGTGAAGGGGTGGATTATGTTGGCAAAGAGAGAGTGTACTACATTCGCCTCGTTTAAGACAGCTTACGATAGTCTTGTTGTTTGGAATAGACCTACATGCATCGGTGCTCTCTCAGTGATTCTGGGTCTGCTGCTGCTCACACGCTTTGGTCATTAAACGGCCTTGTGCCACTATCAACTGTCCACCGTATGTGCACCATTATGCCATTATAGCATATACTATATAACATATACCATATAGCGAGCCGTACCATTACCATCCATCTCGATGGTGGTCACCTCTGTGCGTGTGTGACAGTTGGCATTGTTTTGTCGCTGGCTCGCATTCCACAGTGATTGCAACTTATTGTCGGTGGAAGAACGATGTGAAAACAACACCCCTACCAACTACCACCTTTCGAAAGTCGGCGCCAGCTGTAGGCGATTATAACATCGCTAAAAACCCATAAATATTTTATAAAGCCAATAGACTCGCATGCAATTACGTTCACAATACGGGTAAATGCGTTATATGAGGTGAGGGGCTAATATGGCCAAAAGGCAGGCAGAAAGGAGTTCTTCCCCGCTGTGGGTTTATCAACCTCACGAGTCGAGTCATCGAGGTTGGTTATCAGTTGGGTTGTTGGTCCCATCGATCGATCGATTAGCCCGCTGATAGGTTAAAGCACTCCGCACACGGCCGCAAACAAAAAGAGTCGTGAATTTATGGAACTGCACAAAACTGCGTGTGTTTGTTCGCCATGATTACTTTCGCATAACAGATGCGCCATGTTATTCCTTGCTGCTGCCAATAATTAAATTGATGTATTAGTCTGTGGGGACGAAGCTGGGAAATTGATCCAAAAAGTGCTATAATAATATCAACGGTATTGTTTTGCTTTCATTCTTTGGTTTTTACTTTGATTTTATCAGCTTAGCTTGGCTGGCTTTAATGTTTTATATTTATATTTCCTATTTCATTTAAAAATAACACCTTAAATAAATTTAAATGTTCATCAGCAAGATATCCTATAAATGTAAATTTCTAATTCTCAAATAATGTATGCTTTGAACCAACTAATTTGGCATTGTGGTCTTCTATTTAATTCCCGTTATTTGCCAGAGGAAAACTAAAGAAAACCCCAATCTAACCAAAAAAATACACGTAGTTTCTGCAGTTTGGGGCTCTGTTTTAATTGATAACAGCAGAGAGGCGAGGTCAGGGGCTTTCACACGAAGCCAACATGAAATCAGAGATGGATATGCTGTGGCCTTTTATAAGTAGGAGTATATGCGAATGTGCATATGTATATCCATCCCCCGCAGCAGAATCAGCATCTCTCATTCCACCCACTCGAGCGGAATTTCCTTGAATCCGAAAACCAAATCCAAGTTGGCCAGCTGGCGTGGAGAATTTCCAGCGAGAGCTCCGATTGCCACCGGCAGTGTGCGAGTTGGATAATGAACTTTATGTGCGGCATGCCACAGAACGAGCGACTGTGCAACTGCGGCTTGACTAGCGTTAACTCCTCTAACTCTGCTGATCTATAACCTAACCCCTGTTCTCCGCCCCCTCTTCCCTCTTGCAGACACATCCCGAAGGCCAAGGCAACGGCCATTGCAGATACGCCCGAACTGAAGCGCATCGCCGAGAACACAAAAATCCAGTCGAACGTTAAGTACCACGCGGACTTTGAGAAGGCCAAGGGCAAATTTACACAGGTCAGTGAAAAGTCAGCAGAAAAGTTGAGAGTGCAAGATGTGCGCAGGAAGCTCAATTAACCAAAGTTACTCTACTTCTTTTGCGAATTTCTTGCCTTATTAGGTTCAATTTAGTTCTTTGAAAAAGTCATTTAGTCAATTTTGTATTTACTGGCATAATTAAGAACATGGTAGTTGGCAGAACATACATATATCAGTCCTAAGCTTGCGATAAGGCTTGATATATGTAAGGTTGCATTTCCCATTTAGAGCATGCCGTTGCTAATGGCTTTTGCATCCGACAGGTGGCCGATGACCCGGAAACGCTGAGGATCAAACAGAACACGAAGCACATATCGAATGTGGCATATCACGGGGATCTGGAGAAGAAGGCGGCCATGGAGAAGCAGCGAGGATCCGCCGAGGTCTCCGACAGCAGCAGTGAGTAGTCGCCTTGCACTCGACCTCCGTCTGTATCTATCACTCTATCCATCTCTATGAGACCAGAGCCCCCCTCTAACTATTGTATCTTTCCCCTCATCATCACTGGTATCAAAGCTTTATTGTTTGCGACCGCTCGTTCGCTTAATAATGGTCAGTTGGTGGTGGGCCGGGCTTACTGTTTGAATTAATTTATTCGAATTTCAATTGACTTAATGTGTTTATAATGGTCTATTGACGTCATTCACTCATGCATGCATTCAAATGGTCACAAAAAATTACAAAGCCTGCTTACAGAGAACTTGTGTAGCGATTTGTTTGTTAAATGAAATAAACATTAAAATTTATATTAAATGTCACTCAAAATCTTTTTCACAAAAAAATAGCTTTTCTTCCCTTTTATTTTTAAACTATCCTTTCTTTTTTTTATTTTATTCATCTAATCCGTATCCTTACTTGGTCTCCACTGTACTTCTACTTCATAGAAATGCATGTGGCACGTCAGAACTTGCATTTCTGCACTATCTATCTATGTTGTATCTATTTCCATCACATCTGTCACATTGTGTAATTAATATTGATTATAATGCCGTTTTTATGGTTTGTTTTCTTTCCTTTTATTTTGTTGTGGACTTTGTTTATCATTTGTTGCCATTTATCCCACACCATCAACCAACCAACTGCAACAATAAAATCAACAACATAATTTGTGTGCTTTCTGAACTACCGTTAACCTAACGATACACACAACACGAACAACACACGCCACACACATACACACTAACAACAACGACTGTGGACAATGTTGCAACTAATTAATCGTCACCTCGAAATCGATAAATATCAACAAAATCGAAAAGATGAATCGGAATACTTCTCAGAGCAATTGGCAGCTGAACAATTCTCGCAATATGCACCCACAGCCTCACCCATTCCGCCAGCAACGACAACACTACACCAGCAACATCAGCAACAACAGCAACAACTGCAACACCAACAGCAGCAGCAGCAGCAGCAGTACCAGCAACATCAGCAGCAACTGCAGCAGCAACAACACCAACACCAACACTATCTGCAACAGCAGCAACAGACCCTGCCACCGCCACCCATACAACACCAGCAATACAACACAGCGGCCATAACGCCCACATACCAACAACTCCAACAGCAACAGCAGCATCAGCAGCAACAACAGCAGCAGCGGGCACAGCAGCAGCAACTGCACGATCCCTATGCACACTACCAGCAACCGCAGGCGCTGCGCCAGCAGCAGCAGCAACAACAGCAGCAACAGCAGCAGCTGCTGCAACAGCAAGCCATTAAACAAGCCTCACATCTGTATCCCACAGCAACATCCCAGCAGCAACAGATGCCGCCACCACAGTCGCCAGCGAATCCGCAGCAGCAGGCGCTCAACAGCTACAATGAGATGCGCTCGGCCATACTCCAGAACTCGCATCATCCCAGCGGCAATTCCGTGGATCAGTACGACCAGGCACAGCAGCAGCAGCAGCAGCAGACCACCAACCCCACGCTGGTGGCTGCCCCACAGCAGCAATCGCACCACAGCCTGCTGAACAACAATGCCAGCAACGGCGGCATTTCGCACAGCCACCACAGCAACATCAACAATAATGGGCACGGCTCCCAGACCCATATGTTGCCACCACAAATGAGGCGCTCGGCAACCAATGTCGCCTACGATGGCAACGGCAAGCAACAAGTGGCCGCCGGTCCAGGAGCAGGAGCTGGCCAGAATCACGTGCAGCAATTGTACGCATCTCCCAATTACGCCGCTGTGACTCCTTCGGAGAATTCAATAAACGTTAAGCAGCACGCCAGCAATGGCCATGTGCCAAGCCAGCAGCAACAGCAACAGCATGTGGCAGGCGGCAGCAATATCGGAAAGATAGCGGACTATGATCCGCTGACGGATGGACCAAGGGTGGTGCCCAATGCCGGCCGGTCCAGCACAACGTTGGTCTACAGCTCCGAGCCACGGGGCACTCAGGGTGGTAAGTTGTGGAGCAGGCTAGCTGGTAGTTCGAGGTAGTGATAGTGCGCGCTCAGCTCGATGTTACACACTCATCTTGTCCTTGTCCCCGGCTAGAAAATATGCAGCGTTAACCGAACTAATCCAGACTTGTATGTCCTCGCAGGCAACAGCGTGTACCCCAAGCGGATTGGCTCCGTTTCCGATATTGATCCGGCCAATGGCATCTACGGATCGCTTACCGCCGCCGATCAGGCTCACCAGCAGCAGAAGCACCAGCAATACTACCAACAGGTGCAGATGATGCAGCAGCAGGAGCATCCGCCGCAGCAACAGCAGATGCGCCAGCAGGCATCCTACTCCTCCGTTCAGGAAAAACAGTCGCGACAGAGCTCTGCAATGGTATGTTTTGAATGATTGTCTATTGTATATTACACACTAATCAACTATATGTGCCTTACCATATTTTAGCGCGTCTATCGGGCCATCTACGACTATGAGGCGCAGGACGTCGACGAGGTCAGCTTCCGCGAAGGCGACGTCATCTTCGAGGTGGAGTCAATCGATTCAGGCTGGATGACCGGACGGGTGGAGCGTACCGGCAAGACCGGCATGCTGCCCGCCAACTATGTGGAGCAGGCGGTTATATAATAGGGAATGTTTTACTACTGCTGCTGCCGCCAGCAGTTTGTGGTGATCCTCATCTGCCTGCTCTACATCCTGCTCGTGCTCGCCTTCTTCGTCAACGTTTTTATCGCGGATCGCAACATGCACGCGAATCTAATGATGAGGAACGGACGGCACGGGGTTCACGGCGGAGGTGGAGGAGTCCCTCCGCCAGCAGGCATGCATCCGGGTCACCACAATCCGTACGACATGCATGGCTACAACCACTACAGCAACTACCACCCGCAAGTGGATTCCAAGCAGCAGCAGGAGTTGGCCAAGAAGACGCCGCAGCAGCAGGCCGAGCAGGACATTTACTACTATTTCAATCACGTATTCAGGCGGCGCCGGCGATGATGGGAGTCACACACCCCAACCAACACCCAAAATTTAAATCTTTAGTGCATTAACTTATACTGCATCCACTACATACATAGATATATAAATACTATATATAGCAAAGCAGCGGATTATGTAAAAAGAGAAGGGAAATTAATTAATTAATTTTAAATTTATTAGTAATCCAACCAAGAACCAACAATCCGATATGCATCTTATTAAATAAACAGCCACAGCAGAGTTATGAGAAATCAGTAACAGTGTCGAACGTGTTTCAGCTATGAATCGGCTAATATATGACAGCGGAACATATATCTGCACCGATTCCAATAAGAAAATAAATTGAGCGACCAAGCTAACCCAGCCAAGTTTGCATTTATCTACAGCCCTTAATAAATCAAATTTATACAGATATTTATTGAAGAATATACAAAACGTTAATCAGCTAATCGTACACTATAGCTAACCAATCATATACAAGTACGTATATCTATAAACAATTCGACTAGCTAAAGTGCTTCAGCATAACATGTTGTGGATAGCAAAATCCCAAGGCAAAGGTTTTCTAATTTAATTAGAAGTTCTCAAAGTAATACTTACGGGGCAATAGCTAACATAAAAATTTCCCCCAAGTTTTCTTCGGCTTTTTGAAAGCTTTTCGCATTAGCAATCCACTCAGATTCTGATCGATCTGAATGGGATCCTTATCCCTACAATTTTGTCAATTTGTCTGTGTAAACGAGGAGGACATGGAAGATATTGTTCTTGTTTTTGGGGGAAATTCATGTTTTTAATATATATATTTTTTTGTTAAGAGAATAATATTATATTGTTTGTTTCTAGTGTTAAATTGAAGAGAGAATAAGGAGATATCGTTTCGTTTCACAAAAGAAATCCTTGAAAGTGCCTTTAATTTGCTAAAACGTGTTTTTTAGATAAAACCAATTTACTAGGCTTATCAATAATGCATTAAAGAATCAATAAAATATACTTATACTGTAACTTATACATTTTCATACCGTATGCATGCAATGAAGAACGAATTTCTATCGCAAGTAACGAAACAATTTACAAACGACAACTAAAAATAATTTAATATGTGATTGGAGGATCGTTTTTCTATGGCAAGTCAAGCTATATAATGTATTATTAACTTAACTTACACCACACTCACACACATACATAGCTATAGAAAGCAATTAATAACAATTATATAGGCATAATGCAATTGGAAATGCTTCGAGTGGAAAGAAATCACCTAACAAATACTTGAATTAATCTAATCTTATCCTGAAATAGAAGCAGCGCCAAAGGCTTCGTTTTGTGAACGTGTTACAAATAAAATAAAAATTTATGAAAATTTAAAACTCGTATTTATCTTGGTACTTCAGGATTAATGATGTGCATTGCAATGCCATGAAAGTTTAATAACACTCTAGTTATATGGCATGACTTCTCGACGAGTTTGTCCGCATTGCAAAGAACATAAAAATTAATCAAATTACAAATCGTGCTTTCTCATCCTCGTTATTGAATGGAAATCTCGCTCGTGGTCTTATCCACATTTGTGCTACGATCCATCGATCCTTTTTCGCGGGCTCCAAGTATTGTTTCAAGGATAACAGTCTTGGTACTGTTCATGGTGTCTTCGAAAAACTTGGCGTCTGCGTGCTTCTCCTCGGTGATATATTCCAGCTTCTCTGTCAGCATTGTGATCTTCTCCTTAGCCAGCTCAAGGCTGAAATATCATGAAAATTGGGATTGGTGTTTAATCTAGAGATGATACTTATTCTTACTTATTCTTGAGATCCTCTATTCTGGGCTCCGGCTGTGCGGTGGAGTTGAGAGTAGTGGTGGATTGGAACTGGGACTGATTTTCAAAACAGAAGGAACTAATCGATCCGTTGAGAGAAGTGCGACTCAGCGAATTGGCGTAGTCGGCCATTCGCTGGGTGCGCTTCTTCTTGTCGGACTGCACATCGAGTTCCTTCTCAAGATCCCTGATCTTAGCTTCCAGTCGGCCGATGCGAGTCTTTAACTTGCCGATCTGCTCCTGAGCAGCCTCGTTCTTGGCTCTCTCCGTCTCCAGCCGATCTCCCAGGCTCTTGGTGAGCAACATTAGTTGGTTCTTCTCCACCTCGAGGGCATCCAGGATGCCCACAAATTCCTCCTGTAGAATGTGATTGAGCAAATTATAAGCTTCCTTAAGCTACACATTTTTACCTTTCGGAACTCGCGACAAGAGAAGAGGAATCCGCCGGAGAGGGCGCGCAGGTCCATTTCCAGCTTCTTGATCATATCCTGCAGACTGGCCATGGCCACATCCTTCTGTTTGACCACCGTCTGAAGGTCCAGGTGCATGCCGCTCAGCTCTTCCATTTGTCGGCGCGAAAGATCCCGCTCCTCGGTCACCCGGATCAGTTCGCCACGCATGTCGTCCAAGCGGCTCTCGTACTGAATCCTCTGACGGTTCAGCTTGTCATTCATGGTATTGATATTGACGCCATTGAAATCGGTCTGCTCCTCCAGCTCATTGGATCGAATCTTGTACTTGTTCATCTCCTCGTTCAGGTTCTTGTTTCTTACCTTCAAGGCGAGAGTCTTGCTGCGCTGCTCCTCCAGTTGGCTTTGCAGGCTAAGGATCTCCTTCTCCAGGGCTTCCACTTTGGCACGGTGAAGAATCTCACTTTTACGCACTCCCGGTGTGAAGCGATCGAAGCTAGCTGTTGGGGCTCCGCCGCCATCGCCTCCGCCCAATCTCTCTGAGCTGGCATGATGCGATCGGGAGTGACCGGTTACCAAGTCCAGATCCGAACCCAACGGCACAGGGGCATATTCGGCGCGATCTACGGCTCTGTCCTCGTAGAAATCCAAGCGAGCCTTGAGCTCCTGCACTTTCTGGGTGAGCGTAATGATCTGCTGGGCACGACCCCGCCAATTTGCCTGATTAAGATTATTGGCCAGGATGTTGATGTTGCAGCTCTCACCGATCTCGTGCTGCAAGCACTTTTGGGCCAGTTTCAGTTGGTTCTGTAGCTCGGTGTTTCTGTTTCGCGTTTCAAAGAGCTTCTGCTGCATACTGTTGATCTTGGCCTGGAGCTCATCGGCGGAGCAGCCCTTCTTAAGGAGATCCTGGTTCTGCTGCAGCTTCTCCTCGTGGGCACGCAGGTCCTTCTCCAGCTTCTCGATCTGAGCATCCTTTTTACCCAGCCGATTCCTTGCCTGCTCCAATTCGGCACGCATCTGGCGGTTCTTCTTGCTCAGTTCGAGGATTTTGGTGCCGGCAATGGAGGAGTTACACCGCAGTTCATCAATGGGCACCGAGTTGAGCACCTCGTTGAGCGAATCAACCGATTTCTTCAAGTCGGATATCTCCTGATTCTTCCCCTGAATGGCCTGGGCCAGTGACTGTTTCTCCTGCTCGCACTCGGATAGCTTCCTGCGCAGCTTCTTGGCCTCCGGCTTTGGTGGCTTCGGTTTCACCACTGTGGTTGTCAGCACCACATGGGCAGCTGCCATGGCTTCATGGTCGTGCCGACGGCGCACGGAACGGTCCAGTTTGCACCCCAGCAAATCCTGATCCGGATGGGCTGCATAGTCATCCGGCAAAGTCTCCATCACAATGGCTTCTATTTGCTTACATAAAAATATACACAGTTGGATCTAACAATTTCGTGGGCTGAGCAGAAATAATTTATACGTGTGTCTGTTCGGTGTTACTAAAATATTCACAAATTTTGGTTGTCAGCCGTAGTTCACAGGTTCTTCAAATTTGTTCCTCTTTTTGAAACAGACAAATCAAAGGCAAGTGGTTTTAAAGCAAAATTTAAACTAATAACTCTCGGTATAATCAGTAAGACATATAAACAGATTTCTGTCTATTCTTTAAAAACTGACTGGCAATTTAAATTACAACTACAACTCTTCCACACACAAAATCTTAAGCACCTTATTTTTGAAATATTTGAGTATTTTTGAAATATGCGAGCAAAGTAGTACAAAAATATGACAGGTCATCTAAAGACAGCTACAGTAAGCCAACAACAGCTTTTCTTATTATAATTTAAAATATATTATAATAATAATAATAATAACGGATTACGGTTTACACAAAATTCAAAAAATGTCTGCATCTGTTTCCTAGCTAGCTGTGGCTTTATATAGCTACTTTGCGGCGCGAGTTGGCAGTACAGCTAGCTTTGTTGGTATAATTCGGCGGTTGCGATACGGTCACACTAAAGTGACGTGTAAGACACGAAAACAAGTGAAGATGGACGGATTTATGATGGTAAATTGCAAAATACACAAAATACTGGCTTAAAATCAAACCCCATATGTGCCGCAGGACATCATCAAGGGCATGTGCATCATGGACAACGATGGCAACCGCATCCTGGCCAAGTACTACGACAAGAACATCTTGTCCACGTTGAAGGAGCAGAAGGCCTTTGAAAAGAATCTGTTCAACAAGACGCACCGCTCCAACACGGAGATCATCATGCTGGACGGACTCACCTGCGTCTACAAGAGCAACGTGGACCTGTTCTTCTACGTGATGGGCAACGCCTACGAGAACGAGCTCATCCTGCTCTCCGTGCTCAACTGCCTCTACGATTCTATCAGCCTGATCCTCAAGAAGAACGTGGAGAAGCGCCTGGTGCTGGAATACCTGGAGATCATCATGCTGGCCTTTGACGAGATCTGCGATGGAGGGTGTGTATTACTGTATACAGTGATGGGAAAAGCAGGAACAAAGCTAAATTTAGATTAGAAGCAGGTCATTTAGAAAACTTATAATATGTGCTATTGTAATACCCAGAAATCACATTGTTATCTGGGCTCAATTGAGGCCTTGTTTGTGTCTGTAAGTAGTGAAACGGATTTAATGCTTCCAAAACCCAGTGAAAGCCAAAAAAAGTTTTGTTTTGCGATGCTTCAAGTATAATATAATAATTGCAATGTAATGTACAGGTTATTAGGTTTATTTAATTATATAGAGCAAACTTGAGATCAAAATCTAGAAACAAACTAATGTATGCGAGCCCTAGCACCTGTGGCCTACAGTTTGAATAGGTTATTAAATTGATAGGCTAAGCTTCGAAGCTCACCTAAGGTTAAAAAAGTTCCGCCTTGCCCTCACTGTATACATAAGGTATTAAACAAGAAATATTTTATTTAAACCGTAACCTTTCCCTAAACAGCATAATTCTGGATGCGGATCCCTCGTCGGTGGTGAAACGCGTTGATCTGC